GTGATACAAATAAGATATATAATAACTAGATGGGGAAAAGCTCAAACTACAGTTCATTTCAACATAGTGACAGTGCAAGAAGTAGTGTTTACTGGGAGTGAATACACTGGTTTATTACAAGTTATTGATAATTTTTACAATGGTTGGGACTGGGCTGTTCTTATAGCGATCAGTTCGTGCACGTATGGGCTGGATGCGGTTGTGGTGTCGAACAGCAATTCTCGGGCTAGGGATCTCAGGTGGTAGTAGGAGCCGGTGTCGAGGATGGTGTAGAAACTTCTTACCAAATTTGCAGATGAGGTCGTGGTGATGGTCAGTGAGAGTCGAAAGGGTCAGTGTGTTGAGCGCTTCTTGATATGTGGAGTAGGAAGGGGAGAGAATAATCTTGCATGCCCTCTTTTGCACTTTTTCTAGGTGTTTACGTTGTGTGGCATTTAGGGAGGAAGACCAGGTGGGGGAGGCATAGGTGAGCTTGGGAAGTATGAATGTTGTGTAAACACTGAGTCGGCATACGGGGATGGAGGCTGGTTCCGAGGCAGAGGGCAGATTACTGGCCCTCAGGGGAATCACCATCACCAGGTGAATCACCATCACTATCTGTTATAGTTGTCAGGGCCTCCCTGACAAATCCCCCAAAGTCACCTTCACCTTCACTGTCACTATCACTGGCTCTGGCTGGCTGTGGTGGGTTGCGGGCGAAGAACTCGGTAATGCTTTTTTGACGGCTAGTGTTAATGTTGTCTTGATACACCGTGATGTACAGCTCCATAGCCTGCACCAGCCGGGTATGGAAGACTTCATAGCGGTCATCGTCATTGTCGCGGGAAAGGAAGGACTTCATTTTTTCTGCACACTCCATGGCACCCTTAATATCACTATGACTTAACTTGTGTTCTTCGGAGAATGACGCACCTTCTTCCTCTTCACTGACGTGCTCATCTTCCAACATCTCGTCGGCAGTCACTTCAGGATCTCTGAACACCTCCAGGATGTCTTCGTTGGTGGTCTCGGAGAAGCCTTCAGCTGTAATATTGTGCGCAGCTTCTCTGGCAAGGTCCACTGCTACTGCAACAGTCTGAACCTCACCAGTCACAGGTTGACTCCTCCTCTCAGCTGGTATGCCATGCAACACATGTCTCCATGCGTGACGAATCGTAGCAATAGACAGCTGACCCCATGCCTCCACCAAGAAGTCTACAGCTTGTTTGACGTTAAACTTCTTCCAAAACTGTTTGACGAGAACTTCTTGAGTCGCCACCTCTTGTTCCTTGTCCTCGTCGCTTTTACTCTCGCTGTTGGTGTCACCCAGCTTACGCAACTCATCCTTGGTGTTGGTAGAGTCGTTCACGAGCTTGAACTTCTTTGCAGAGTATGCAGCTTTCACATTGCAGATCAACTCCTGGTCCATGGGCTGGATTAATGACGTAGTGTTGGGAGGAAGGAAGACCACTTTTACGTTGGGGTGACGATCCATAAGTAGGGGCGAGTGTCCAGGTGCGTTGTCAAGGAGCAACAAAATATTGAATGGAACATTCTGTTGCTCGCAGAATTTCTTCACGTCGGGAACAAAACAGTTGTCAAACCAGAAGAGGGACAGAGAAGAGGACATCCACGCCTTACGTGCGGTTAGCCAGTGGACATTAAGCTTGTTCATGTCCATATTCTTGTAGGTGTGCGGCTTGCGGGCTGTGTGAATCACCGATAACTTTGGTTTACAGGTACCGGAGGCATTGGTGGTAAAGAGGACGGTGATGCGTTCCTTCTGCAACTTCCGACCCCTTACCTTGCTGGCAGACTGGACAACGAAGGTCTTGGAAGGTAGCTTTTTCCAGAAAAGACCAGATTCGTCCATGCTAAACACCTGGTCGTCGGTGTACTGCCCTTCCTCCATAACCTCACGTAAGAACGGAGGAAAATCTCTAGCCGCCACACGGTCAGCACTCGCTTCCTCACCACCAATGTTGATGTTGGTGATCTTGTTCCTCTTCTTAAACCTATGCAGCCAACCAGAGGAAGCACTGAAGGGTTTGGGCTCTGCATTTCCCAGCTTACGTGACACTGCTATGCATCTGCACTGGAGCGCCGCGGTTCAACCGCCATGTTAAGGCCGCTACCGACTTAATCAAATAATTCACCAGCAAATTTTTCCACCTTTAACTAAAGCACTTGTTCTGGGCAATACTTGATCATTGGAAGCACCTGTGACTTGCATTTTATGTGTCTTTAATCTATTGAATCCTTTTCTTATTAGGTGTGAATCGAATGAGCCAGCGCTGTGAGATCAACTTGATGTGTTTCTTTTCTCCAAATCTTGAATGATCTGGTATTTCACTTCAGAGCTTAGGCCACAGCGATCTTCTGGGCTTAGGGCGTAAGCAATCCAGGTAAGGAAAAGGTTTCTTCTGGTGGCGGTGGTGAACTGGGCGGAAGCCATTTCACAGAACAATGGATGCAACAGACACCGGTGGCCTGGAGGATGAAACTGTCAAGGGTAAGGCCCCTCTTTCTCCTCCTCCCTCCTCCCTCCCTCCTCCCCAGGTGGACACGCTATTACTTTTAAACCAATTACAGCTAGCAGCAGAGGGGTAGGGATGTATGGCCAATCACAGTCCGACATGTCATATGACGCCAGTGATAACGCAACAGAGACACACACTACAGAATCCCACAGCTGCTTGCCCAGGCAGAGGGAGGCGGAGGTGGGAGGGAGGGAGGAGGAGCAGGCAGGCAGGCGGCAGGCGGAGCAGCGGTGGGGCGAATTCCAGGCTGAGCCCCCAAGGCAGATATAAGTAGATGAACCGCAGTAAGTGAAAGTTCGGTTTCAAAGGAGGCACTGCATATGTAAATCGTGTTGCTAAACCGCTGCTAAGGGGTATATATATATATATATATATATATATATATATATATATATATATATATATATATATATATATATATATATGTATATATGTATGTATATATATATATATATATATATATATATATATATATATATATATATATATATATATATATATATATATATATATATATATATATATATATATATATATATATATATATATATATATATAGGTACAGGTAAAGTATGTGATAATCTTGTCTATGGTCTTTGGTTTCAAACTCAAGGACTGTACTGTATGTATTTTGGGTTCACATACAGTCCCAGGGATCATTGGACCCATATTATAAGTCACTCCTTCGTTTACAAAATTAATGTTCACCAAATGGTCTGTCCCAAAGGTGTGTCAACTAGAGAGGTTTTACTGTACTCTTATCAATCAATTATTTCGTGTAATCATGCAGCACTAATATCTACAGTGAAGTCTCCAGCTACAACCTATTAGGTTTGGGTTGTTTTTCTTTTCATTTACTAATGGTAATATTTATAATTTTCCTGAAGGCAGAACCGTGTTAATGTCTACCAGCAATAACTTTATTGTGTCTAGTTAGAAAAGCAATACAGTACAGTACAGTACAGTACTTGGTCTACATTTCAAAGTTACAAATAAGAATATAGATATATAGTACGTATGTACCAGGGCCGGATTCAGGAGTGGGCAAAGTGGGCAGCTGCCCAGGGGCCTCCACAATGTGGGGGGCCTCCACATATTACAATATTTTATTTATTTGTTTATTCATTTGGATTATTTTTATTTTCAATCTTTAAAATTCATGTTTATCTATTCCATCACGTAAAACTATGTTCAGCAAGAAGCGTGATAGAAATTAGGCTAGCTATTCCTTGAAATTCATGAATACCTGGTTTTCCTATGAACCGTATATTTTTAATGAATGCTATTGTTTATGTTGCTAATAATATATTTAGAATTCAACAAATTGATTAAAAATTGATTATATTGATTAAAAATTAACTACATGGAAAAACGAAATTGAGATTTAAAAAAAAAAATATATATATTTTTTCATTATCACTTCCATTGCGAATGCCATCAGGGCATTTGAGTAGAGGTTTATCTGATTAATAATGCAAAGAATCATCTCTCCGTGATAACTAATAATATATTCTTTTCTGTAAAGTCTCTTGAAAATTTTTGACATGTGCGGTAGTAGCTATATTAGGGCTGGTCGACTTGAAACCACATGAATGACTCCAGTCATGTCTCACTTTTGTGTGTGTGTGTGTGTGTTGAGAATTTGTACACTACCAATAAATGTACATTTATTAACAATTTCTCAATGTTCTAATTTCCTCACTATAACTGCATATGGCTTCAAAATTCTCCAAAGAAGTGTTCAAATTTCAACAATTTCCCGGGGGGCTTACAGCGCCCCCCGGAACTCCCAGATGTTTAGGCTCGCTTCACTCGCCACCCCACCCTCTTGGGTAGTTATAATGAGGGGGCCTCCACAAAGAGGCTGCCCATGGGCCTCCACAGGTCTATATCCGACACTGGTATGTACTGTACAAAAGAACTTAAATGAGCTGTTAGGATGTACAATATGAACAACAACAATTAGTAGTTAGTTGAGTACTAATATCAGATTGCTCCTCATTTTGTGCCTCTGCTCAGTATGAACCAAACTAGTTTTTTTTAGTTACAGCAGCTTAAATAATGAACCATTAGAATTATCAACTAAGGCACTATGAATATGTTACAAAGAACTTCCCTAGTCACAGTAAAGCATATTGCTCTTATGATTTCTCTTACATCAAAGCTTCACAGCAAAAGTACTTATGAACTGTAATTACCATCATCATCCCAAATGCACTTGATGCTGGCTGATACTGTAGGGTTTTGTTTCAGAGATTAGAGATCTTGCTGAATTTTTCATTATTTATATGAAACAATCATTAAATTTACCTTGTACAGATTCTAAGTCACACAAACTTGTGAATACAGTGTGTACTGTAAATTATGTAGTACATTCAGCCTTGTTATTTAATTATGTAAACAATTTGAATTTTTTCTCATTCATTTTATATTCAGAAAAACCTTCAAAGATGACAAGTAAACGATTCTTAACTTGATATCATACCTGATCTGTGGGACAGCAGTAGTCAAGCAGAGAAGTACACGAGGGTTTTGGGCCACAGTTGCAACAGACTTGAGCACAGTGTAGACCAAGTTGAGAACAGTTACAACATAGTGCATAGGGACATCCTCCTCCACACACACCTTTCCTCAACAAACACTGCCTTATACTCAATCCTGGAAAGCAGATTGATGCTGAAACCCCACTTTATGGCCAGCAAATTTATGGCCAAATGTGCATAAACTCCCGACAAGAATATGGAATCTAACATGTGTACAGTACTAATTTATTTGTTTTGGGGAGTACTGCACTATATGTTAATAATTTGTCTGAAATATTGCTCTAGTTGTAATATTAGAAAAGGAACCATAAATCAATCTCTCTCTATCTCTCTTCTGAGTGTGTGTGTGTGTGTGTGTGTAATGAACTCAGGAAAACTCTATTCAGTCCATCTCAAAACATCTAAGCTCCACTGACTCTACATCTTTTAATAAAAGCTAAATCCTTACAGAACAGTAAGGACAGCTGACACTTTAGGTAGGAGCAAGAAATAGAGAGTTTAGGAGCATTGTAACCAGTAAGGACTCCTCATAAACTGGTCTGAGACTGATGGTAGAAACTATGGTGGATCAGTCCTCCTCATAAACTGGTCTGAGACTGATGGTAGAAACTATGGTGGATCAGTCCTCCTCATAAACTGGTGTAAGACTGATGGTAAAAACTATGGTGGATCAGTCCTCCTCATAAACTGGTCTGAGACTGATGGTAGAAACTATGGTGGATCAGTCCTCCTCATAAACTGGTCTAAGACTGATGGTAAAAACTATGGTGGATCAGTCCTCCTCGTAAACTGGTCTGAGACTGATGGTAGAAACTATGGTGGATCAGTCCTCCTCATAAACTGGTCTAAGACTGATGGTAAAAACTATGGTGGATCAGTCCTCCTCGTAAACTGGTCTGAGACTGATGGTAGAAACTATGGTGGATCAGTCCTCGTAAACTGGTCTGAGACTGATGGTAGAAACTATGAGAGATTTCTGATAAACTTCCTACATGCTCATGTTTGGAATAATGAATGTATGTATCTTTAGATAATTTAGCTGAATGTCTTTCTCGTCAGAAACGGTTATCCCAACGATTATGAATAAACTCATTTAGAAATATATTATTACTTCAGGATGAAATCGGACAGATTTGCAACAGCCAATCAGCTTTAACTCTTGAGGATGGGGCGGGGCATCTCTTTTCAGCTGAGAAAAACACACTGGTAATGTGTTAGCCAAAAGAGTTCTCAAAAAAGTGTTGCACAATATTATGGTAATCTCTCCCCATTAACACAGTTAACAAGAAATAAGTAGAGAGTTGTATCTTCCTTAAGGCTGTAGCTCCTTCAGAGAAGGGTTCAGGTTATACTGCCCCTTCACAAGCATGTTATTTTAACCACAAATCTTAATATATTCAGTGCTTTTACAGGACAGGAGGCATGAGTGAGTAAGAAGTTATAAAGTAAGGAGCATCCCTTGAGGTCAAGGTTAGAATAGGGGCATGGGCTCTCTTAGTCCTGCAGAGAGTGGGGGGGATGGGATAGCTGTCTTCTATTGTTCATAGCACCATTAATTTGATGAAAACACGTTTAGTTCCTGATAAAAGATTAAGGCAAGCAAGTAGGCAACAATTCAATCTGGTGAAGTGACTGGAACTAAGTGAGTTGATGCCTGAAATCCATGAAAGCTGACCTGTAACAGTTGAAGACTGCAGTGCACACATGCTCGTAAGTTCTTATTACAGTACAGTATATGAAAAAGTTCTTACCGATAATAACAAGAATAACATATGCAGCAATGGCGATGCAGAAAATGGCAGCAAGGGGTAGATCCCAGGACTTGGAAGAGGAGAGGGCTACCTTGTCCACCCCCATCTTAGCTGCCTTTGTCTTTAAAGAAATTTAAGTTGAAAACATTATGCTCAATCAGCAGTGAGAATAAATTCAGTTCTTATTATGGTAAATAGCAAAATGTAAGTAATTTCAAAGGGTAAAACTTAAACACATTCTTCCCCATCACCCAATGAATTTAAAAGTTGATTTAAAAGTGCACAGTGTGAGGGCGCGTGTTTCCCACACCTCTACATCACCCTCATCTTACTCACTTCTCTTATCTTACTCTTACTTAGTTCTGTCACCTATTCTTTTGGTAGCATGGACATTCTTTTGGTAGCCAGGTCATTCTTTTGGTAGCATGGTCATTCTTTTGGTAGCATGGTCGAGGGTCTAGGCACATGGGTATGGTAATTCTGGTATCAAGTCACTTGGACGGAAATACAGTTGTACCCCACTTAACGCGGTCAATAGAACCCAGAGGGTCCCGCGTTAAGTGAACAACAGAACATATGGGATTAATTCCAATAAAAACCAGCCCGACCCCCAAACTCCACTTTTTGAAGACACATAACTATGTTGTAGTAAAAATAACATCTTAATTTTATGATGGTACATGCACACAATTAATACTTAAGAGAAATAGAGAAATACAGTCGCCAAGTTAATGTCCATTCAAATAATGGACTCAACTCCCTCCCCCTCTTCTCACACAACACTGCTGGCTCTTCCTCTCTGAGAAATTTTTGGGGGAAAACCACTAAATTTTAATAAATAATACCTCAAACTAAAGTTAGGATAATACAATTGACATTGCTGGATTCCTTGTAAGACCAGGAATATTTTGAATATAAATGTCATATATTTTGCACAAAAGATAACATATTTACTCAGAGAAAACATTTTATCTAAAATTTGTATGTCTAATGCAAAATATATGATGTTTATATTCAAAATGATCACCAAATTGTAAGAATTCCAGCAATGTAAATTATATTCTGGCCGGGTAATTTGTATGAATTTTATGAGCTAAAACAAATATCTTCAGTTAATAAAAAAAAAATATTCTTCACAGGGTAACAGATGGTCGGTCGGTCCCTCCCTCCCCCCCACCCCCCACCAACCGTCCCAAGGAGATGTGTGGGAAAACCAGAATACTGTATTTAACTTTTTAGTAATAAATAATACCTCAAACTAAAGTTAGGATAATATAATTGACATTGCTGGATTCCTTGTAAGACCAGGAATATTTTGAATATAAATGTCATATATTTTGCACAAAAGATAACATATTTACTCAGAGAAAACATTTTATCTAAAATTTGTATGTCTAATGCAAAATATATGATGTTTATATTCAAAATGATCACCAAATTATAAGAATTCCAGCAATGTAAATTATATTCTGCCGGGTAATTTGTATGAATTTTGTGAGCTAAAACAGGCAGTCAGGTGGGGCAAATCTAAAAATAAGCGTCTCGAGGCAGGACACTCACGGCGTATATGTGGAAAAAATCGTGTTAGTGAAAGTTCAGCTCTGTGAGGCACAGCGTATATGAAAAAAGCGTTAAAGTGAAACCCCGCGTTAGGCGAGAACTAATACTGTAAAAGGTAAAAATACTGTGGGAGAAATAAATACCTAAAGTACTCTAAAACAAATTTATTAATATAAAATCAAAGGGAAAAAGATATATTGTAGTGGAATTCTCCCCTACAAACGCTGTTTGTCGCTGCCTAGCCGACCCCACCAATTCCCCAGTGTATGCCTCGTGGTCTAGGTCAACCAGCGCCGCCATACACCACGGAGCGGGGGTCAACTGCTAAGCCACGCCTACCCCCGCTATTTAAGACCTGACCTCGTGGTGATCTCTCTCTCTACCTACAGCCACAGCCAGCAACACCTCCTCCTCTGCCGCTGCCTGGCGGCCCTCCCTCCTCCGCCTGCCTGGCGGTCCTCTCTCCCGCTGGCGAGCATGGCGACCCACAAGCTGTCCTTCTCTGAGCGTCCTCACCAACCAGCTCTCTCTACATCACGCTTGTAGCCATGCTGCCTTCCCAGCACCAAGCTACATTGTACATCCAATACAACATGTATATAGAGAGCACATTGTGAGTTTCCTTTCTCCATCCCATCCTGAGTGCGAACCCAAACATCCCATACCCCACAATATTATTAATCAAGTAACTACCAGGCTCAACTCCTGGGCTTATTGCAGACTCAGTACTTTCTTCTTTACTTATTTTCTTATTTACTTACTTTCTTATTTCTTTACTCAACAGTATTACTCAGATCTTACATTCTTACTGCACACAACATTACTGGTGTTACATTACATGGCATAGCAGGACCAGTTCCTTGGCCCTACTCACAATACATAGTACATGGCACTCATTGTAGATTACTTTCCTCAACATACACGTTAATACTGACACTAGCATATACAGGGGTCCACTACCCAATATGGGATAATTATTTCCAACTAATTGTCCCTAACATATATGTTACAACCCTCTCTGTGGACATATACTTCCAAGGAGTAACCCAGGGTAGAACACTGGGGCTCATGACCGTTGTTGTGGTCGGTAGTAGCCAGACACATGGCGAGTCTGGGGTCTGGCTCAACGAAGCAATGGAGCACCTTAATCAGGTCGCATCGGTGCCATCGTCTCATATATGATCCCTACTAGGTATCTACTACATCCGGGGCAGTTGTCGAGTGATCCAAGAGTCACAATGGGATCTGGAGAAACATTGGAGCAGCATCAGGGAACGGACTGGGAAGCATGACAACACAAACAACTCTCTTGTCTAGACGACAGACGAATTTACGTAATATTACTCTTACACTGGGTGAATGACCATTCAACTATTAAAGCATGAACACTGATATTCACTACAATTGACTGAATTAACTGAATGGCTACACATAAACATACCTGGAGAAACATTGGAGCAGCGTCAGGGGACGCTCTCCCTGGCGATGCACGGGTATAAATACCCCTGAGTTGCCAGTGATCGCTACTCACGCAATGACAATAATCACAAACAAACTAACTGTTACTCATTCAAAGATGACCCTCAGTTGACAGGTCTGGCAAATTACTTGAGTTGATATACACAGACTAATTCAAGATTGAGCTTCCCAGGAGAAAGTGGAATAAACAACGCATTGATAACTGTCTTCACAAAGGCGGGACTCTGGGAGGGAACAAGTGTAGCGTCGATGGGGAAAAACACGTCTTCTTCCCAGGGGTCGCTAACCCACTCATGTTTTGCGGTCGTGGAGTTTAATAAGAATCATTAGTTAAATAGATCAGCAGTCAACGTGACCATGACAACAGTGTTACAAGTAGTTGCGTGGTTACCTACGTGTGTATTGGTGTATGTACTCGATTTGGAGGTTGGGTTTAATGTTAGCGTTTCTAAATGTTTTTAATGAAAAGTGAACTGATATAAGATGATACACTATTGTATCTGATGTTGTTGCTATATTATGTTACTGTTTCTGATATTGTTGTTATATGATGCTCTATGTAATGTGATGTATTAAGATAAATGTGTTAAAAATAGTTGGACTTGTGTAGAGAACAAGCCAAATTAAGTTCCACACTAAATACAGGTACACCACCGATTTTCCGGGAACTGATGGTCTGGCACCTACTTTAGTCCGGACAAAATTACGAGAGAGCACTAATTTCCTTCCCTCCCTCCTTCCCACCCAGGGTGAAGGTAGTTTTAGGCTTAAAGTTTTTATCTTATAAAATGTCAGTCTAAACTTAGCAGAATATAACCTTGTATTGCTGGAATCCTTGCAACATAGTGAATAGTTTGCACAGGATATGAAATTTTTAATCCTTTAGTCTAGTACATTTGAGTACAAGTTTTTCAACTCTTATTTTTGGGTAGATATATAACATTCTTCTTTTATTTTTACTCATTTACATGCACACACCATCCTAAATACTTGTACGTATCGTGAAAAAAGTACAAGAAATAATTGTCCTAAGGGCAAACCTGTACTCAAATGTACTAAGTTAATTACAACATGCCCTTCAAATTTGTGGATTTTTAATTCGTGGATGACACCCTGGATGTACCCAAGAATGTCTAAGGGTAGTTTTAAAGTGGCTGGCATTTTTGAGGCCGGGACAGGAAGCCATTCGTTCTAGAGACAGTAATTTCTTTTACCTGTAATGTATATATGTGTTTGTGTGTGTGTAGACACACACAAACACACACACACACACACACACACAAAACACATACTGTACAAATAAATAATAATGGGAAAAATCCTCTCACAAATAATCATCGGAAACAAATGTATTAAAAATGTGAGTCTACCATGAAGTCATTTCCATGCTTTGTTATTAATAACAAAGCACGGAGTGGACTTGAGGGTAGACTCACACACACACACACATACAGTATATACAATACAGGTAAAAGAAATAATTGTCCTTAGGGCAAACACATAAAAGGGAATATGCATTTCTTTGCACTCAAGTAAAAATGTACCTGTATTAGCCCCTTAATCTTCATATAAATGTACATTAAGTTTATATAATCATATCACCCCCTGTAACTTTCCACTAGCTAAGAGGTGCCATGGTCACATCACGTGATGGGTAAGTTCCACCCTTGGGGCGGGGCTGTAAGATGTTAAGTCAGCTACGAAGAAGCCGGCAAGCGGGCATTATCACTACAACCCTCACACCAATCAGACGTATTTAGTAGAGCTACTTTAAGGAATCCTCCATCCTCATTTAACACTCATAGCTACAGTTGAACTGTACAGTGACCCCTCATTTAACGAACTCAATCCGTTCCAGACGGTCGTTCGTTAACCGAAACCATTGCTTCAATGGGTATTTTGGTAATTGGTTCCAGCTCACCGAAAATTTCCTAAATTCAACAAAAATGGTTGAAAAGTTCACTTACTTTGAGGTGTGTATGTAGAAGGCTCCTGGATGATGATGATGGGAATTAGAATGGGGGTGGAGGAGAAGGAAGAAGAGAAGTCATTGGGGTGGAAGAGAAGTCACCCCATGGCACC